AAATTTTAATGAGTAAATTCAGAAAGAGTGTCACTGTCTCTCAAATGATTATAATGCAGGTGAAAAACAGCTAGTACAGAATAAGTGTGGCCAACAGTTACATATTTTATCATGGAATAAAGTGTTTTTTATCCGTGATTTGGACCAGACGGAGTTCAAGTGAGGAAAGATATAGCAGGCTGACGGTTTAAAAGACTATGAAATATATATTGCAGAATGATTTCCAACGTTTACAGAAGATGATGATTTATTTCCATTAAGTAATTTTAGCCCAACCACACTCTCTGTGAAGACCGTTATGATGGAATACTGATAAAGCTAGGTCACTAAGAGTCTAACCTCTCCCAGGGGTGAATATTTTTCATGTCTAAATAATACATAATATGATAAGAAAATCAAGAGCCAGAAAGATCAAATATTTAATGAAATGTTTTCAGTTCAGAGGTCGTCTATGCTCTGGCTATTTGTCAGCACTCTTTAGCTTCGAATGACTTGTAAATTAACTGCTTTGTCTGTTCATTGAGCTTCAATGATAATGCAGTTTTCTTGTTATAATGCATAACACTATGCTGGTAATGTAGTACCTTATTGTGTCGCTTACATACTGTTACAACTGTGGGGTCAGTTTTTTTTTTTTTCTCCAAGAAATTAAAGCTTTTAATCAGGGACACAATAAATTGATCAAAACTGATCAAGTCAAAACAGGTTCTGTCACTCTGAAACATGATTATTGCAATGCTCTCTTGGCAGGTCTTCCAGCCACTTCTATCAAACCTCTACAATTAATCCAAATGCTGCTGCAAGAATAATCTTTGATGAGCCAAAAAAAAAGCATGTCACACCTCTGTTCATCAATTTGCACTGGCTACCAGTAGCTGCTCGCATTAAATTCAAGGCATTAATGCTTTATTTGACCCTCTAACTCTAGCACTTTATATTCTATTTTAATTGTACTTTATCTACATTTATCTTCTTTTTTTATTAAAAAAAATATATATTTACATTTTTCTATTCTATTTTTTCTATTCTATCTACTTGTTTTTCTTTGTGTGTGTGTGTTTATGTGTGTGTGTATAATATATATTATTATATTATATAATAATATAACGGCTGGTCAGTAAACGTGGGTCGTAGCAGCAAATACACTGTGCGATGTTCATGCTGAATTTCTGACACTGTCAGAAAATGACGGTAGGCTATCTTTAGTCGTAAGTGACAACAGCCGTCTTTGAACCGCTCTCACTGTACGACATAAGAGGGATATGGTTTTGAAAAAAAAAAAAAAAAAAAAGGTTGGGGTGCGGGGGGATGCTTTTGCATTTTCTTGCAAAAGTATTGCATTCCCCGGAGAAACTTTGTGTTTGCATGGTTTTTCCTCCCATCTCATATCATTTATATCACAAAAGTTTTGTGAGTGAATGCAAAGTGTATCGGGGGAACACAAAATTTTTGCAAGAGAAAGAAAATTAATTAAAATATAATTTATCCTCCCATCTCATTTTATGTACCATAACCTTGTTACTTTAGGAGCTCCATAATTAAAGAATTCTGAAAAAAAAAAAAAAAAAAACTATCATGGTTTCTACAAAAATACTACGCAGCGCTGTTTTCAACAACATTTTCTTGAGCACCATATCAGCATATTAGAATTATTTCTGCAGGATCATGTGAAACTGAAGACTAGAGTAATAAGTGCTGAAAGTTCAGCTTTGCCATCATAGAAAAAAAAAAAACATTTGAAAATATACAGTATTAACAGATTGTAACAATTGTAAAAAACAGTTCACAATATTACTGTTTTCCTCTTTTTGTTTTATTTTTGTTTCAAATAAATGCAGCTTTGGTGAGCATAAGAGACATAATGTCATGGGTATAGTTGAGGGGAAGATAGAAGAAGACTAGGAGTAGCGTTCTAACGCAAAGTTTAATAAGAATAATCCAAATAATAGGCAGACAGGCAGAGCAACACACACTAAACAAGACCGAACAAATGAGTGACTGAAATACACAGTGATAACGAGATGATAATGAACAGGTGTGATGACTAGATGAGTGTCCATGACGACTGATGACTGGCAGGAAACTAATGGTGCGTTCAAGTCATGTCGGATAGATCGTATTTACGAGTTGAACAAACATGAACGCCACCACAAAGTCATTATTACGAGTGGGAAACTCAAAATTTTCTTTAAGCCCCGAGTTTCCGAGTTGGGGGCGTGTCAATGAGAAACATGGCGGAATCGATGGATGCAACGTCTGTAGCTGACGGTAAATTTTTGTTTAAATTGATAGTTTAGTTTTCCTATAAACTTAAATTGGTCATGTTCTTGTTACGCAGCTAGTTAATGAAATCCAAGTAAAAAAATGCAGACCCTGTTGTATTTTCTTGTAATTTATTAAAAGAAGGTACACCGCCATCTTGTGCCGACTAAACTGACTTGAACGCACCTGACGTCGTAATTACGACTTGTCAACTCGTAAGTACGAACGTCCCAGGAGGACTTGAACGCAGCATAACCCTGCGTCTCAATGTCCATACTATCCATCCTAAATAGCAGAGGTGGGACCAAGTCATTGTTTTGCAAGTCACAAGTAAGTCTCGAGTCTTTGCATTCAAGTCTCGAGTCAAGTCACGAGTCAAGACAGACAAGTCCCAAGTCAAGACAGGCAAGTCCAAGTCGAGTTGCAAGTCCTCAACTTTAAGATTCAAGTCTTAAACAAGTCATTAGTGCTCTTTGCCCAAATTAGTGTCTCAGTATTAATTACCATATCAAATGTATAGTAATTTATATCAGGAAGGCAGGTAGAATATGTTTGACATAGTTCAATTTCATGTGAGATGGGT